AGGTCAAGGGTTCAGATCCCTTTACCAGCCAGTAGCCAAAACAAACAAACAAACAAACAAAAACAAAGAAGAGAAATTTCCCTTTACTTGAAATTTCTGTGTAATTCACTCCTTATAAAAATAGGCATTCAAGACACTTATCAAACAAAAACAAAGAAGAGAAATTTCCCCTTACTTGAAATTTCTGTGTAATTCACTCCTTATAAAAATAGGCATTCAAGACACTTATCAAAATGCAAGTAGGATCTTGATGGAATGAAACATTAAGCCCTTATCAAATATTTACATTAATAGCTAGAATTCATTTCTCTGATTTGTTTGACCCTAAAGAGATAAAATGAGTTTTGATAGGTGATTTCTTATCAAGGAAATCTGAAGCATGAGGACAGAAGGGAGTGCAGCAAGAGGGACAGAGGTTTCCTCAAAAATGAATTTCATCTATTTTGCATTTTTTCCAAGACTGAGCTCTTACTATAATGCCATTATTTGGAAAATAATGCCATTTACCCACATGTTAAACAGTACATGAGATGGGAGAAAAGAAAAAGATCTTTTTATGTTCTGTCTGTTATTTATTAATCTGTGGTGAAAAGTTGCTGGTATATGAAGAATCCTGTGATTAACCTCATAAAAAGAAAGTGAAATCAAAACAGAAAAGGATCAGCTACCTGAAGAAATACTTTGTGGCCCAAACATGGATTTTTAAAATAAGACTTTAAGAGCAATAAAATAAGACTTTAACACCAAGTGGATGTTGGTCCATACAAATCAACACCCACTTGGAAACTCAGATTTGAAAACTTCCTCTGAGTTAGAACAGAGTCACACAGTTTGTAGGACGGCACCCTCCTCCCCCTCCTGTTGAACACCTGCTCTGGGTGCTCTCTGCTTCTAAAGTCGGGGGAGTCCTGAGGTGGATTCAGCTGGGGAGAGCACGTGGCCTTTGCTCTGTTTCCGTTTAGCAGGAAACGGTTTAAGGCCTTTGGCTGGGAACCTCCACTCAGAAAGTCTCCCTTTCATCTGGAGCACTCATAGCTTCCCGGGACTCGCGTTGCAGTCTGGGAGTCAGTTCATGTTGCAACACGTCACCCTCTAAGTTGCTTCAAGGCTTTAGACTGTGGTGCAGCCAGCAGCTGCCAAGAGCATGTGGGTCAGAGTGGGTTCCCCTCTAGCTTGGTCATAGACTTATACTTCCTCCTCTTCCCCTGCCATCTCGCAGGTGAGAAGCCCCACAAGTGCCAGGTGTGTGGCAAGGCATTCAGCCAGAGCTCCAACCTCATCACCCATAGCCGCAAACACACAGGCTTCAAGCCCTTCGGCTGTGACCTGTGTGGGAAGGGCTTCCAGAGGAAGGTGGACCTCCGGCGGCACCGGGAGACACAGCATGGGCTCAAGTGAGAAAGCAGCTACGCAACACTACGGAGGGCACCTCCCACTTGCCACCACCCCCTTCTGACTTCACAGGCCCCCCCAGTCCAGTCTGCAGATCCCACCAGGGTGCTCCCCCTTCGCTTTATTTCCTGGAGCTGCCAGAGGGGATGAGGTATCTTTTCAAAGTCCAGCCCAGAGTAGGAACCAGGCGACTCACTGGGCTTTGGACACAAATAGGAAGCTGCAAAATCTAGTGGGATCAGATAAAATCTTGGACCCCACAGTCCTTCCTATTCCCAGCCCTGCTCCACAGACAGGAAAGTCCTTCAGGGTTCTTCCCTCCTCTTCCTGACTTGCTCCAGATACTTGTGTGGAAGAGGAGGAATCACCATTTACAAGATGGACACATGCTAATGTTTTTTATCTAGAAAGAAAAATGAGTGTTATTTTTATTTTTTTTCCTTCTGGGGAGTCTGTTGACCCCTTTCCATTGGGTGCTGCCTGTAAATCTTGGAGGAATCATTTCTCCTCCTTGAAGATGGTTCAGAAATGGATTGGGGGAAGGAGTTTAATACTTTTGAAATCACAAGATGCACCATTGAGCCTGCCCCAGGAAGCAGCAGAAGAAAATGGATTTGGTGGTGAAATCAGACTTGGTGATGAGAGGGATTAGAGGTCCTCTCTGCAGGAGGCCTGTGAAAGCTTTATCGGAGGAGGAAAAAGCAAGCAGCAATGCCTGTAGACAAGATGTCAGTCATTCAGTCAGCATATGTTCATTGACCACCAGTTACCAAGGTACAGGCACCAGGCTAGATACTGGAGAGCCAGAAATTAAANATTGACCACCAGTTACCAAGGTACAGGCACCAGGCTAGATACTGGAGAGCCAGAAATTAAAGTCACAGCTCCTTCCCCCACCCCTCAAAAGCTAACAGTTATATCTCCAAGTGTCTAGGTCTGTTCTTTCCCTCTGAGGGAATTCTGAGAAGACAAAACGGAATCGTGAACCTTTTTTGACTCTTCCTGCTCCACAGACAGGAAAGTCCTTCAGGGTTCTTCCCTCCTCTTCCTGACTTGCTCCAGATACTTGTGTGGAAGAGGAGGAATCACCATTTACAAGATGGACACATGCTAATGTTTTTTATCTAGAAAGAAAAATGAGTGTTATTTTTATTTTTTTTCCTTCTGGGGAGTCTGTTGACCCCTTTCCATTGGGTGCTGCCTGTAAATCTTGGAGGAATCATTTCTCCTCCTTGAAGATGGTTCAGAAATGGATTGGGGGAAGGAGTTTAATACTTTTGAAATCACAAGATGCACCATTGAGCCTGCTCCAGGAAGCAGCAGAAGAAAATGGATTTGGTGGTGAAATCAGACTTGGTGATGAGAGGGATTAGAGGTCCTCTCTGCAGGAGGCCTGTGAAAGCTTTATCGGAGGAGGAAAAAGCAAGCAGCAATGCCTGTAGACAAGATGTCAGTCATTCAGTCAGCATATGTTCATTGACCACCAGTTACCAAGGTACAGGCACCAGGCTAGATACTGGAGAGCCAGAAATTAAAGTCACAGCTCCTTCCCCCACCCCTCAAAAGCTAACAGTTATATCTCCAAGTGTCTAGGTCTGTTCTTTCCCTCTGAGGGAATTCTGAGAAGACAAAACGGAATCGTGAACCTTTTTTGACTCTTTTGAATTTTATCAAGCGTAAACAAAAAGTAGCTAAACAGTTACTTCAATGATTCATGTGTATATTCAGTTTTTTATTGTTAAGCTGGCATTTTTTAAGATGTCTGAGCTGGCAGCCATGAGGGGGTGAAGGCTCTGTCCTCTATGTGTACCATAGAGGGGGAGAGATGTTGTATTTTTGCCTTGATGAAATGTTGTAAATGTTTTTAGATCTTCTGGAGTGCATTATGTTTGTTAATACATATTTATTAGAGTGATGTTTTAAGTTAATAAAGTATTAAGACTAATGCAGATTGCCTTTCATTTAGGCAGGAAATTTGGGAAAGACCTTTGTTCAAGTCTGTGGGGGAAGCTGGCACTGAAGGAAATTACAGTGGAGTGTAAAAGTGAAGCAGACAAGCCAACATCCAGAAAAAAGAGTAATATACAGTTGTTCTGGTTTCCATATATTTTTCCTTTCCTTCTATGCCTCAGAAATACTTCTTTTTTTAACAGAAAAACTAGAAGGTATATAAAACTAAGTTCCTACCTTGCAGTGTCCCTGGTGATTGCACAGGTACATAAGCTCTTTTCTCCGAGAATTTCAAAGTAATTTTTTACAGACCAGAGGCTCCCAGATGAATAAGGAAATCATAGGCCTTAGGTCCAGAGATTTGAGTCTCAGTCATGGCTCTGTCACCAGCACATCATGTGACTTGAGCAAATCCTTTAACTTCCCTGGTACTGGCTTCCTTGACCATAATATGTGGATATCATTCTCTTGACCCAATCCAACCCTGATTACTTCAATTCTGTGGAGGCTGAAGAGGAGAAAAAGTATAAGAATGGTTAGCTGCCTTGCCTAAGGCAAGTTACAAATCTAAAGACATATGAGGAATATTAAAATCAAGATCTGGGTTATTTCTGGCTTTATCCCACTGTGTGAATTTCTTGTGTAAATGAATCCTTAGAGAGAATGAAACTAGAATAAAGTCCTGCCCTAAATCCCTACTACCAGTGCTCTAACACCTCCCAGCCAGACGTTCAAGGTATGCATAGCTCATTTCCATTCAAATCAATTTCACACATTTACTGAGCACCCAGTACATGCCTGGCCCTGTTTAGGTGGTGAGGACCCAGCAGTAAGGATGATGTCCTGCAGAGCTTTATTTATTTGGTCACTGGTAACCTTTAGCTCCCAGAGCAGTGCTTGGCACACAGTAGGAGATCAATAAGTGTTTGCTGAAATGGTAAGTGAATAAACAAAGAAACTCCTGCTTCATCCTGTGGGCTGGCTCTGCTTTCTGCAGCAAGAGGGGAAGAGAAGTTGCTCGAGAGCCTAGGAAACAAATAGGATACAAAGGACTGTCTGAGTTGGTGGGTAAAGGGGGCTTTGACGCTGCTTTTCTCTGGTCCCTTCAAATCTTGGTCCTAGGCCATCCTAACTTGATTTCCAACACCATGTCTTTCCACGTCAGTTTATTCTCATTCAAAATTTACATTTGTTTACTCTGTAATGCAGTTTAAGATAGTTTTCAGAATGGATGGGTGATAAACAGTTGCAGCATCCAGGAAACACTTCCCAGTGCCCTGGCTGACAAAGCTCCCAGTGAATAAATATGTCAAAATATCCTTCCTGCAGAAGTCACCATGCATGCTGTTTGTTTATTTACAACCTGGTTTGAAAAGTAAAGACGTTGCACTCAGGGGTAAGTAGAACTGATTGAAATCTAGGTGTCTGTCCTGTCCTGCTCTCCCGTTATGACATTTAGAACATTTGGTCCATTTTCAGTATCCATCTTATACTATAAAAGAGGGTTTGGAATTTTTATGTTAACTGTATGCCTTTTATTTGGAAAAAAATTTATCTTGATATCCCCAGTTCAGAATCAAAACAAATTACTGCGCCTGTTACTTTGTGAAATTTGAAGATTGTAAATATCTCTCTTAATGTTATTACTTGACTCCATTAAAAATAGATTGTGAATATTCCATGTCACATTATTCATGAGGCAGGCTCTATGCCTTTTGTCTGCTGGAGTAACAGTAGAAAGGGTAACAAGAGACACCAGAGCACACCTTTGTTTCTTTCACTAAATTTTTAATAACACCTCCAGCTAGCCAGTTGGTGAAGCTCAGCTCCTGCATAAAAGTGGAAAAGCACAGCTATCTCTGAGAAGACCAACTCTTTCAGTAGCTAATTTGAGTTTGCGTTCATCTACACCAGACATGATTAAATTACCTATCGAGTGTGCCGAGCTATCAGGATTCAGGCCACGCAAAAGGTGAATTTCATCTGATTGATTTGAGGCAGGAATGGAACAAATGAGTTTCAAAAGTCCCGCCTTAATTAAAGGGATAGCAAAGTATCACTACCTGGTGACTTCTTGACTGCCATTGCCCTTGAAGACTGGGTGGTGATAGTGATTTGACCCAAGTCATTTTGTTGTGTGCCTGTTTGTTTAACCTGATCATTTAACAGAAAGAAAGGAACACAGAGGAAGATCTAAAAGGACTTTACTTTTCATTGTACATTTCTAGAGCACTGTTTATTTAAATCTGTGCTGCTATATTATTTCTACAGTAATACATTTTCTGGAAGTAATAATACATAATAACAACATCTTTTCATTCATTAGGTTAGATTTTAAAAATAAAAAAAATAAAGTTCAGCCAAACCTCTTCTAGCTTAAAAGTTTGTTTATATTATTAGTATTCCTTCCAAACCATATCCACATGTGTGTATATTTATATATGATTTTTAGCCCTGTGATCAGAATATTTATAATTTGCATATAGAGAGCTTATTTATTTATTTATAATATGGACACATACTTAAAATTGAAATATATTTCACAGTGAGAATTTGGATGATTTTTATGATTAAATATTATTAAGTCTTAATATTTATTAGAAATTTTATCAATCATTAAGAAAAAGTCTTTTCTGCAGTTTAATGTAATTTACTTTTTTTTTTTTTTTCTTTTGTCTTTTTCCGTGTCCGGCAACGGATCGCAACCCTCAGTGTTGCCCCCNGTCTGAGCTGGCAGCCATGAGGGGGTGAAGGCTCTGTCCTCTATGTGTACCATAGAGGGGGAGAGATGTTGTATTTTTGCCTTGATGAAATGTTGTAAATGTTTTTAGATCTTCTGGAGTGCATTATGTTTGTTAATACATATTTATTAGAGTGATGTTTTAAGTTAATAAAGTATTAAGACTAATGCAGATTGCCTTTCATTTAGGCAGGAAATTTGGGAAAGACCTTTGTTCAAGTCTGTGGGGGAAGCTGGCACTGAAGGAAATTACAGTGGAGTGTAAAAGTGAAGCAGACAAGCCAACATCCAGAAAAAAGAGTAATATCCAGTTGTT